AGATTACGTAATGCGATTTACTGTAAGTGGGATATTTCAAGTAATTTTGTAATTAGTAGAACTGTTATGGACTAACACTTCCAGTAATTAATTAAATGAGACTATTACAGAAATAAATGACTTGTGAAGTGATTTGGTAATTAACAGAGTTTCATGGACTTTGGAAATTTAGAAATAATAATAAATAAAAACAGTATTAAATTAATTACTAATATTTGAAGGAATACCTTTATTATTACAGTATTACAGGAATAACTAATATTTGAAGTAATAAGGTTTGGTACAGTAATTGGTTAAAAGCTACAATTACAAAAGCGAGGGAAATAGTGTGTATGAATATATTAAAGAGCGTGTTACCTGAATCACCAACTCCACCTGGCAGTAGAGAGTCAAACCAATATGTATAATAATTGAACGAAATCCTCATGTACTAATTGAGCGAAAATAACCATTGGTGAAATACACTGTAACTGCTTTTGAATGGGCAATAACCCACACCAGAATGGGGCAATAGCTATGGGCAAGGGATGGGGGGGACATCATATCCGTTTTAGGCATGAGGGAAAAGTGCTATTACATTGACTCGGAAAAAATATTATATAATGGGCAATAACTGTAAATTACAACCCCCCAAAAAACATAACACAACCTCCATTACATATGACCTGAAAAATAACGTTGGGAAAAAAAAATATATATATATATATAAAGGGACTATATAGATAAAGAATTTATTATCATATACCATAAAAAAAGTTTAATTTAAATGAAATATATATAGTTGACAAGTATATAGAATTTCGTGATCATTGTTATAGATAAAATGTATATATAGATGAGATAAAAGTCGTCTGGTCAATGGAAGGGAAATGTTTATTGTCAAAAAATATATACATACATACATACACACATACATACAAACAAACATACATACATACATACATACATACATACATACATACATACATACTTACTGCAGAACCACCCCCCCCATCCCTCCTCCCCCCTCAAACAAGTCCGATTACAAATGACATACGAAGTGAATTTTTAACAATGTATAGATGACGTGAATGGTCGTTTTAAACCTCGTCAGATGAACCATTGAATTGCCTGTGTGTGTGTAAAGGGGGGGGGGGGGTTAAATTTTGCGGTAGATATGTCTTTAATGACCTGAAAGTTGATAGAAACGTACAACCCTTCCTCACACCTCACGCCCCCCCTCACGCTCCTCCTCCCCCATTTTTTGTACACACTCAATTTGAAGTGTTCGGTGACCAATGGCTCAGAGGTTAAATGGCCTGAGTTTTAGATGGGTGGGTTAGGTTAGGGGGGAGTGGGGGGATTAATGTTCAGTTGGCCGTGTGTAAATGACCATTGTCAACTGGGAGTTAAATGGCCCCTATTGGTTATTACTAAACTGTTCGGAAACCATAAGTTCATTGTTCCCTTACAGGTCATTAGAGTCAGGGGGGTCTGGGATTTTTGTGTGTGTGTGTGTGTGTGTGTGTGTGTGTGTCATTAGAACTGGTCTACGATTACTACGGTCTCTCTGTATCTGTTTATCTGTCAATCTGTTTTGTACCTGTCATTCTCTGTATGCCTGTCTGCCTTTCTGCCTGTCTATCTCTCACTAACCCTTTTAATCTGCCTGTTTATTTGTAACTGCACCTGTCTACTTGTCTGTATGTTTTCCTGTCTCTCATTGTATACTTATGTCCCATTTTTCCTGTCTATCTGTCACTGTCTGTCTACTTGCCTGCCTCTACATACCTGTCTACCTGTCTATCACCAACTCTCCCTATCTGTTTATCTACACACTGTCAGGATAATTTTTTTTAACCTTTATAGTGATTTTTTTTCTTTTTTGTCGCCGGATGACTTTTGAACGATGTTTTAAAACCTTTCATAAAAAAATAAACAAAAACTGATGAATTTTGTTACAAGTCGAATTTCGCTGACGTTTAGGTAATGTATAAATTGTCAACCTTGTGAGGAAGAGAGGGAAGGAGGGAAGAAGTAAGGGGGGTAAAGGGTAGAGAATCGTGGAAAAGGGGAAGAAGAGAAGAGATAAAAGAGGGGTGGGAAGTCGTGGGAATAGGAGGTGGAGGAGGAAGAAGAGTGGGGCAAGTGGAGAATCTTGGGAAGAGGAGGATGACGAAGACGACGAGGAGGTGAGAAGAGAGGAGGAGAAGATGGATGAAGAGTCTTAAGAGGAAGAGGAGGCTGCAGTTTCATGGGAAGAGGGAGAGGAGGAAGACGAGGAGGAGGGGGAGGACGAAGAGGAGGGGTGGTGAGAGGTGACCATTGTTTACATTAATGCATCTTGGATACATTGTGAATCGTGAAGACCAAGACCTTCTGAGGACCATCTGGAAGACGTGAAGAAGGGAGGGAGGAGGAGGAGGGGGGAGGGTAGGGGAGGGGGGTAGGCGGGAGGAGAGAGGGGAAGAAGGGGGAAGGGGGGACGGTGAGGAAGAAAGGAAGAAAGAGTGAGTGAATAAATTTGGACCCAAAGGAGATATGAATGAGGGAGCCTGAGAGAGAGAGAGAGAGAGAGAGAGAGTTGTTTGAGTGATTAGTTGATCCGATGAGTGAATGAGTGTCTGAGTGAGTGAGTGAGTGAGTGTCCTCCTCCTGGTCAGGCTTGGAGTGTGCTTTCTCTCATTCACTCTCTTACACTCACTAATGGTTTCTTAGGAAGTCTCTCTGTCTCCTCTCTCTTCACGTCTCTCCTCTCTCTTCACGTCTCTCCTCTCTCTTCACGTCTCTCCTCTCTCTTCACGTCTCTCCTCTCTCTTCACGTCTCTCTTCTGTTTTCATACCTTGATCTTATTTTACTGTCCATCCTTTCCTTTCTATTAACCTCTCTCGTTAAACCTACTGTATTGTGTGTGTGGGGGGGATGTTATTGTGCTATGTGATGGTACAATATTGTTCCATTGTGATGCTCTTCCCCCTCTCTGACTAAGTTAATTGTTCCACCGGCCTCCCTGAAGTGACCGCAACAGGCTGTGTGGCTTAGCTTGGTTAGTTGCAACAGAAATGGCAGCGGGTTAGGTTAGGGTATAGCTAGGGTTAGTCTATGCAAATATCCTGGCTGTAGCAATTGGAACGACAACAGGTGTATATCTTGGTCACGTCGTTATATATAATTTTCTTGGTAGTATTAACGGGGGAGGGGGGGGGGTCAGCAAAAGGCTATACTGTTATTATGGCATATTCATATAAACAAATATCCTGGCAGTAGTAACAGGAACGGCAACGGGGAGCAGCGGCAGGATATAATTAAAGCACGTCATTATATATAAATATCCTGCCATTGGATTTACTGGACTTGGCTACAAAAATAAAAATAATAATAATAAACCATAACTCATATTTATCATTGAAATTTTTTTAATTAACTCTGAACACTTTTTTTTTTTTACTTTCGTCCCTTTACCTAATGACACAGACTTGTACAAACTTAATTGAATTAAAAGTAGCCGCTGTAATGACACGATTTATCAAGCACCCGAGTACAGCATGTCTGGACCGGCGTATTAGCGTGGTTTAATTGCATACTGGCTTGGTATTGCATGCAAGTGTCTTAGTGTATCCGTCGTGGTGAAATAGTTTATATCTGAAGGCATTGTGTTTATATTTTACAAACATACATCGTCTTGCTTCTTGGATTAACTCAGGTCCGTGTTTACTACAAGACCAATATAGATTAAATATTTCATGGTGTTTTTTTTTTTATCAGTAAGCACAAAAATATATATTGCTTTTTTTTAAGTACACCAATATAGATTAGATACATACATGGTAAATTTAATCTAAACACAAAATATGTATATTGGTTTTTTACTTCGAAATTTCTCAGTACTTAGGTGTATTTTTTTTATTAAACTCACAAAAAAAAATCGCTCTTGTACCGACATTATCCCATGTAAGGAACGCGAGATTTAGTCCAACTGTCTAAAGAACTTTATAAAGGATGAATAAAACGTCTCGTCCAGTTTCAAGTTCGTAGAAGGTCCTGCTGAACTTGTACCTTCACGGGTTTAATCACGAGTCTATCTATCTACCTATGTCTATTACACGAACTACTGTAAGAGTAAATAGAGATAACGAACCTTGTCTTCCGTCCCAAGAGTAAGGTGTGGATAGTACCGTTCGAGGATATATCGTGTTTTCGACTGCGTTTACTCTGCCTATTGATTGTATGTGATTTAATGTTCATAAATTTTATCTTCTGTACTACCGGTTTGTACATACTTTTAATTCCTTAGTGTGACTCTTAACTCTCTTATGTCAGGTGATTTAGTACTATTTAGGGTGACAATTCGTGGCCAGGGTCATGACGGAGCCAGTGGGAGGTGTTTGTGTATTGCCTGTCGCTTTCTACAGTGATGGGAACTTGTAGTGATGGGAACGCAGTGATGGGAATTCCCTCCAATAGTAACCCATGGTGATGGGGACAACAGGTCTACACGAGTGATGGGAACTGGCAGGCTGGGAAGCACAGATAAAATATTTGCTTTATAACTTCAATTTAGAACTATCGTGAGGTGAACTAAAGTTAGGTAATTTACATTTGGTAGTTTTGACCAAGTTAATATGACGGATGGTGGCGCGGGAGGCGTGGAGGAGGGCGTGTGGGGGGGGGGGGAGTGGATGGAAGGGGTTTGTGGGGAGATTGATTGTCAGGGGTAAGAGAGTGTGGATGCGTGGGGAAATAAGTAGGAGGAAGCGTTAGAGAGTGAGTGGGAGGGGGTTGCGGGAGAGTGGGTGGTGGTGGGGGACGTGGGTAGGTGAATAAGAGGAGCGTGGAAGAGTAGGAGGGATGAGTGGGAAGTGAATGAGTGGGGAGTGAGTGGGAAGCGGCGTGGGAAAGAGAGTGATCTTGAACTGGGTAAACACAGACAGACAGACAAAGACAGACAAAGGTTATTATATATACTCACACATGTCTCCTGTTTCTCTAATAATAAGAGGTGTTTATTTTTCTTCAACAGGTAAGAGAGACGACAGACGCAGAAGCCTCTTTGAGAGACGGAGCCAACCGGTATGTAATCTTGCAAGCCTGTAATGTAATCGTGTGCAACTTTGCAACGTGATCTTGCAAATATGTATGAAAATCTTGCATAGTTGACGTGTATTGTTGCAACATTGTATTATAATTTTGTATATTTTTAAATGTAATTTCCTTCTTATAAACATGTAATTGTACCATGCAACTCTGTAATGTAATCTCGATGTGCTTTAATGTAATATTGCAAACCTCTAATGTAATCATGCAGAGTTTTAATGTAATCTTTACCTACCTGTAAATGAGGTAATTATGCCTTTCCTAAATGCAGTATTGCAACATGAAGTCTCGATAATTCTAAAAATGTAATTTATGAAAATTACATTAACGGATGAGAGAAGAAAATGTCGTAATTCAAATTAGTGTGTTTAGGGCAGAGGTTGAATGACGTCATTAGCACGCTTGTAAATGTTGACGTGCAGAGAGAGAGAGAGAGAGACAGCTGACAGACATACACAGACAGATAACTGACAGACATACAAACAATCTTCGTATTGAAAAACCTGAACTTTAGTATAAAAAAAAAAGGCACGATTCGTTTCCTTAAATTTTTCGACCGCCAATAAACACACTTGAGTCAATGTCACTTGGAAACAGACGCCAAAGTTTCTCTCTCTCTCTCGCGAAAGTATTTGGAGAAAAGTGTGTATTGCACCTCTCACCTTGAAAGTAGTCTCAGAAACTTTTATCTCGGAAAGTATTAATCAAAGCTGGTATATTGCAACCGAGATATTAAACGTATTACAAGGAAAAAGTTATATTATAGTATTCTCATAAATAGGTGTATATACCGTGTTACTTTCAAAATAAAATACTGTTTGTCTTGTAACTATTATTAAAAAAATTGTGAGAATTTTCGCTGCCAAACAAACATATTTTATATTTTTTGACTAGCACTAAAAAATAATCCGCTTTTACTTTCCTTCACAAAAAATAAAGTATTATATTAAAACTATTTACTGTTTTTGACATGGAAGTATTAAAAAGAAAAAGTAGGGGATTTTTCCCTGACGGAGATGCGTATTGCGATTTTTTTCCCCCGTTGATGTATTTTAATTAGTTTTTTCCCAACAAATTGAAAGCATTATGTTTAGGAAGGTCTTGTTGGGAGTTCATGTGTGTGTGTGTGTGTGTGTGTGTGTGTGGAGTGAATGAAGAGGCAGGGAAACGTCAAAGAAAGAGAAGAGGAAGATTAACAACGGAGAAAGATGCGAAAAACGTCAAGATAAAGAACACACACACACACACACACACACACACACACACACACACGTAATACATTCAAAGTAAATATCCGTTAAAACCAAGTAATTTTTTTCTCCCCCCAAATCCAATATTTTTGTCTGAGTAGAAATATAGCAGTTGGCGTCTTCCTTAACCCGAGACGCAGGAAAAAATAAACTCTATATTCTGTGTAACTTGAGAAACTCGATAAAAGGACGTAATTTAATTTCTTCCGCTTCATGAACTAACGGGAAAATATATTTGATTCTTGTTAGGGAAGATATACTGGGAAATATCCTGGTTTATATCCTCTTAATCTAATAAATACAGAGGGAAAAAAGTTTTGAGTTTATTTCCTCTTAACCAGAGTAGAGGCTAGAATAATTCAGTTTATTTCATTGTAAATTGAGTGAGATATGATGTGGAATTTATCTCTGGGAAACTCGTAATTTTTTCTTCTTGGTCTATAATTTAATATGTTGCTCAGTGGAAGATCGGTCGCCTCGCTAGTGAATGGTTATGGGTTCGATTCCCTGAGTGGAGGTGTGACATACTACTTGTCGTTGTACACTAGCACTTGTACACTCAGCATTAATACAGGTACACTAACGGATACATCTCTTAATTATATAGATAGATATAGAGAGAGACAATCAAAGAGAGAGAGAGAGAGAGAGAGAGAGAGAGAGAGAGAGAGAGAGAGAGATATACTGTAGATTATTAAGAGATAGTTAGCTGTTACGTCAGCTTAACCATAGTCTTCGGTGTAGCTGTTAATGACCTACAGCTCCCTCTCTCCCTCTCTCCCTCCTTCTCCCTCCCTCCTTTCCTCCCTTTCTCCCTCACTGTTTTAATTTCCCTGCAGTAATTCCCTGGGTCGACTAATTTAGGGAAAGTCTGAGTTAAAGTCTTGGGAGGGTGGGGTAAAAATGTGTTGGTTTGGGGGGAGAAAGTTGCAAGAGGCAGCAGCTGGCGGACGAACAGATGGTCGGACAGACGGGCTAGAATAGATGGTGGATAAGTGGACAGAAGGGCTAGAATAGATGGTGGATAAGTGGACAGAAGGGCTAGAATAGATGGTGGATAAGCGGAACGTCGTAAGTGGCTTTGTAACATTAATTTATTTTTCTTGTTTTCTTTTCTGGGGTATTCTTGTCTCCCCCTATCCTCCCCCTCCTCCTCCTTCCCTGTACATAATTATCTCCCTTACTTCCTATTATTTACCCTATTAGACTTTACATCTCTTCTTTCCTCCTCTTCTCTTCCCCCTGACTTCTGTATCAACCCCTCTCCTCCATCCCTTCTCCTCACCCCTCCATCTCCCCCTCACGACCCCTCCCTCTCCCCTCGTCTTCCCTCACCCCCCCCCCTTGCCACTCTTTTATACAGGGCAGCCATCAGTGTGTTTAGATTGGACATTTCGCGTATTCATGATAACATTATGTGTGGTTTGAGACGCGACGAGAAATTATGATCATGCTGGAAGAAATCTATTTAAGGGTGGTGGTGGCGGTGTTGGGGGTGGTGGTAGGGGTGTTGGGGATAGTGGTTGGAGTGGTGGGGTTGGTGATAGTGGTAGAAATGTTGAGGGGGATGGGGTGTTAGTGGTAGGAGTGGTTGTGGTGAGGTGCGTGGTGTCTCAGGTGCGTGGTGGTAGTGGATGGGGTGGTTGTGGTGAAGGGTGTCGGGATCGTGGTGGTTGTGGTGCTCGTACAGTTAACCACCATTACCACTAACCACAATTATCGACCTTCAACAACACCGGCTAGACTCTTTTGCTTTGTAATAATAACACTGACCTCCTACCCCCTGACCCCCCCTGACCGTCCCTAGCTCCCAATGAACCCCCTCTCTCCCTCCCAACCCCCTCTCCCCCTCACCCCTCCCAACCCCCTCTTCCCCTCACCTCTCCTAACCTCCCCCTTACCCCCCTGTGTATGGCGTGTCAGCTCCTTCCCGTTAGCGTGATGGAGTTGGATTTTTTTCTCACGTTTAATTAATTGAAAGTAAATGTTAGCTGAGGTGGATGGGTAGATGGGGTGAGGGAGTGAGTAGATGGGGTGAGGGAGGAGGTAGATAGGGTGAGGGGGTAGATGGGGAGGGTGGGTAGATGGGGTGAGGGGAGGTAGATGGGGTGAGGGAGGGTAGATGGGGTGAGGGAGGAGGGAGGTAGATGGGGTGAGGGGGGAGGTAGATAGGGTGAGGGAGGAGGTAGATAGGGTGAGGGAGGGTAGATGGGGTGAGGAGGTAGATGGGGTGAGGTGGAGATAGGATGTGGGTAGATGGGGTGATGGAGGAGGTAGATAGGGGTGGGAGGAGGTAGATAGGGTGAGGGAGGAGGTAGGAGGTAGATGGGAGGGGGTAGATAGGGTGAAGGAGGGTAGATGGGGGAGGGAGGAGGGGTAGATGGGTGAGGGAGGAGGTAGATAGGGTGAGGGTAGGGGGAGGGGAGGGGAGTGGAGGGAGGGGTAGATAGGGCGAGGGAGGAGGTAGATGGGGTGAGGGAGGAGGTAGATAGGGTGAGGGAGGAGGTAGATGGGGTGAGGGAGGAGGTAGATGGGGTGAGGGAGGAGGTAGATAGGGTGTAGGAAGGGGTGGCCAGACATATGGCCACACACTCCAACACTATATCTTAGACTGTGAAAAAATTGAACCTTATAGACACAGATTCAATCACACTGAGTATGTAATGGCACAACACTGATGACAAGATAGCTGATATACTAAGGCTGTATCCACACTTCACCTCTTGTACCTAATCAAAATTCTATGGACTGACTTAACCCTAGACAGGTAATGGTGGATCCAAGCTATGCGCTGGAAATATTATGTAGCATTCATTGCCATAATATCAAAATCACTGGGGTCTGATAAACACTCTTTTGTGGCCTCTGTAATCATTTTTTGCGCTACCGGTCATAGGATGAGTATGAGGTGCGCAATAAACTAGCTGTTGTCCGTGGCAAAAAAAAATAAAAAATAAAAAAAATTAATTTCTCTTGTTCCCCTTTCCTTTAACCTCCACCCTCTCCACCCTTACTCCAGCTAGTTCCTCCTGACACTGTCTATTACTTCAGGCTAATGGAGTTACTATTGATGCTATTAGCCAGGGCGTCATTTACGGGGGGGTAGTCACATAGTGGATAAGTCTGGGTCACCTGCAGCAAGGAATGAGACTCTCTGCTTGACTCAGGTATTTGTTTATTTCACGTTTTGTTTGCCGTTTGTTAGCATCGGGTGTTTGTGGTTTGTTTACTTTGGTGTTTGTTAGTTTCAGGAGTTTGTTGTTTGTTTACTTCGTGTTGTTTGTTTGTAAGCTTCGGGTGTTGTTTGTTTACCTCTCAGACTTGGAATTTTACGGGATTAACTACAGTAATTAAGTACAGCCGGAAGAACATAACAACACCAGCCAATCACCTCGGAACCAATAGTTAGCGAGTACGGTGTAATTAAACATTGAGAAAGAAGGTTATCAAAATCTTCCAAGCGTCATTACGACCACTAATTACCCCGCAATCGAACTGTCATCATGGTTAAGCTTATTAATTTTTGAGACAGTTGAGTAATTAGTCAGATTAACTACTGGTTAGTGAAGGTAAATTAAAACTAATGCTGTAATAGATGAAGGAGAGACGGTAAGTAAAGCAGTCTGGCCGGTACTGTACTGCAACACCTTCTGTACACCTAGGCACCCACTCACACCTGGGTGGACTTGGGGTGCCTCAGACGAGAACCAGTCACCCAGAGAGCTTGAGGTG